TGCGAGAGCTATGAAAAGCCTTTATACTCTTCCACTTCACAGCTGTTGTTTCTCATGTTATCTACATACACAGTTTGTGAAGATATATATGCTGCAGCTGCAAACTCCTGTTCTGTCAGGTTCAAGAAATGCATTTACTGTGTATTATGCTTTATAGACAGAAGCATATTTGCAGGCACCATGGCAAGGCAGCACTCTTCTGTGTGTGACAGCTGAAACCCAAAGGCTTTTTAGAAGGCAGGTAAAATGGATGGATTGTATCCCCCCCCCTGCCCCGCTCCAAATCAGTGTTATCTGAACTCTTGATTTTGAACAATTTTGGAACTGCCTACTTTCTGCTTGACTAGAGATGCTAATTAAATTATATAGGGCTATTTCTGGCCAGGACAAAAACATAATCTTGCCTTATTTGAAGTAATTCTTATGGATTATAATAAATACTGTTTGTTTTTCAAAAGAAATTATTTCATAATTGGCAGTGCAGTTACCCTGCTGTCTCTTTTCTCTGTAGATGAAAAATGTATTTCACGTTTCCAATTTTTTATGCTTTTGTTTGGCCTTCCAAAAAAAAAAAAGAAAAAAAGTGAATCACAGGTATAGTAATGGTATGGAAGTAAAAAAAAAATCTTACAGATTTAGTGGGTCATGTCAGAGGGAAACCATGTCCTCTAAATTTCTCAAAACATATTTTCATGTGGTAATAGGATTAATGTTGTTTTTCTACCATGTGTTATTAGAAGCCCAAAAGGACAGTATCTTAACTATAACTTATCTGTACTGTATCTCCTTATCCTAGAGTGAAAAATATTTTCAGGAACATCTTGTAATGGTGTAATTTTCAGCAGCTAAACAGTGAGAACGATGGATGTGAGTTTGAGGTTCTTTTCTGGGTTTGGCCACTGATGTACTTTCTGGCCACAGTGTCCCTCGTGACTGAAAACTCTCAAAATAACTTTGCAAGCCATGGACTTGGTCCTAAATTCCACATACCACCAACGGGTAACTTTTGTATGTGAAAGGATACTGTGTACAGGATTAGTTCCCCTCTTAATGGAAGTGTGATCGCCTCTATGCTAGAACATGTTCAGCAGTGACTAAATAGGAAAGGTTGATGCAGTAAGGTAGTTAAAAGAAGGAAGCAACCAAATCCAGCTAGTTTTACTGATTGAATTTAATGTAGATACAGTTTGGTTTTGCACTGTGAAATGAATCTATTCAGAAGGATGTCCTCCTACAAAAACTTCTATGGAATTTTTAATAGCCACAAGTGGTCACAGCTTTGTTTATACATCTTGTCTGAAAGCTGGAAAATGTTCCTATAATTAAGTTGAAAAAAAAAAAAAGAAGAGTGTGTAGGGGGAAAGTAAGAGAGAATAGCCTGAGAATATCCGTTGAGACAAATGTCCTGAGACAATCAGATTTGTTCTCAGGGATGAATGTGTATTATTTTAAAGGCCAGAAGAAGCATGTCTACATTCTGCCTACGGGTGAGGATAGGTTTGTTTAGTTTTAAGCCTTGCATTGTGAAAATATCTTTACACTCACAAGATGTTTCAATTGCAGCAAAATTAAATTCCGTCTAATTGTTCTTTGCTTGGAATGGAAATACTTTAAGACCACCAATTTGAGGCTGACATGGAAGAAGGAAAATATTTATCTTTATGAAACCAAGTTAGTTGAGCAATGAGAGTCAGGGAGTTGTATTGCTTCATAAGTGGGGTTATAGAATTAGTGTTTTTATCTGTTGTTAGATATTGTTAGATGTTTGCTTTCTGCTGGCTGTGGATTATTTTACTGTGTCCTCTTGAGAGACTGAACTCTGAAGCCAGCTGAAGTGGTGGAGTGAGGTTGCTTTACACCTTGGCCAGCGACTGCTGATCAAAAGGCTAGTAAGTATAAAAAATTTAAACACGTGAGTTGTGGTTCATATGATACCACTGGAGAACGGGAGTGGGCTTGCTTTTTGCTACTGAGAAAGATTAAGGTATCAGGGGTATGAACTTGGGAAGTACTAGATTGTTATCTCATATTACGCGATTTGCTCCTACTTTTCAGTAAACCTGTGGGACTTTCTTTGCAAGTTGATTTGTTGCAGTTCTTTCTTTTTTTTTTTTTTTTTTTTTTTTGGTGTGCCTGCTTGCTCAAAAATGCTTCTTATGTCTTCATAAATGTTCAAGCTCTGGGCTAATGCCCTTGTTTAGATACTGTAGTGGAAAATAATGTAACAAAGTGGTATCACAACTGCAGGACTATACACTGATTTCTGTGGCAGAAACAGTTGGGTTTTGTTTGGTTTATTTTCCTGACACTATCCTGACACATAGTAAAGAAACCTATGTTAAAAGTGTGTATTCCAGTGTTTGTTTACAGGAAATTCATTTAAGTGCATTTAAATCAGTTACAGTAATTGAACAGAGATAGACCAATTTGGAAAATATTAAATTTTTCTTTTTTTTCCTGTTGATAGTCGGAGGAGTAGTTATAGTAGCAGCAGCAGCATATATGGTGTTGTGTTATGTTTTCTTCTCTTGCTACTTTGCCAAGAATATAATTTGTACTTTCAACAACTTTGTTCCTCTTAAATATCAGTAAGTATAATGACTTCCTATTTAGTAGTAGCTGAAACTCTGAAGCTTTAGAAAAAGGAAACACTCTCCCTGTAAGCTGAAAGGTTTTCATACAAATGTCTTGCATTTGAACATTGACTTTATATAAAGAATAGAAGATAGCATGAAAGCATGCTGCAGCTGCAGTTTGTTCACTATACTGAAATACTTCTGTTCTTTTTTAGTATTTAAATGTTCATGCTATCTCCTCCCATCCTGTCTACTTTGTGTTTAGATTGGTGAGAGACAAAAAACTTGGAAATGACTCAGAAAGGAGAGCTAGAAAATTTGTCTTACAGAACAAATATGTAATACGTGCTCTATGAACTCTTCTGTGTGGAGTATTATGTGAACACAAGGTTAGAAAAAGCAGAAGCTAGCTGCTGAAGTCAAAAAGGTGGCTTACAGAAGGGGTATTGCCAGGGCAGACCATCACTGGTCAAGTATCTGCAATATTTGCTTAGGACTGTAAAGGTGTTTTAATGTACACTGTTACACCCAACATCTCAAGTGTGGTTTTCAAATTTTTTTTAATAAATAAAAGTAATATTTTTCTTTTCAAATGGGAAATATTTGAAGTGCTTATTCCATTTACTAAGAACACCTGCGCACCACAGCTCTACAGGTTTGCTTTCCCAAGAAAATTATTTTCAGTTTCTCACTGTGGTTCCTGCATTGTGGGTTGCACAAGGCAGTTTGTTCTCAAGTTAGAAGGACTGATTGCCATCTGAGCCTACCACTGAGGAAACATTTTACCTCTTTAGAAGTAGGATGTAGAGTTTTGACTGTTTTCTCAGTGGGTTTGAATCATTAGGGATCAAGGAAAAGCATAGAATAATTGATGTGGAAAACACAGATTCTTACTTTTTCTTACTTGTAAGGAAGAGTAAAGTTTAACTAATGGTGGGTGCACTTTTGCATTAGTATGTTTTTTCGTTTGGTTTTTGTTTGGTTTTATTTATTTCCTTTATAAATTATATTTATTTATATCTTCCACTCTTTCCTTTCAGGTAAGGTAGGCACATCTTCCAATGTTAATATTTCAAAAAGCTTAATTGAATTACAGAAATACGGTTAGATTTTGTATTAAGTCAGAGAATTGAAACAACAGGGACAATAGACATGAAGTCATGTAGCGTCCTGGAGTTGCAGGCTGTAATGCCACATATATTCTCTTAAGAACCTTTTTTTGGTGAGTTCATTTTCCTATCGATAAGTTTTCTCTTCGGTGTGAACAGCAGCACTGGAGAAGGGAGGCAGTGATGATAGACTACTTGGAGAAGGATGAGAATAAGGCAAACATCTTCAGTATCTCACACACATGTTAATTTATGGTGACGATAGGACAGTGCATTTAGGAGGCATCCTGACAAGTCAGTCATTCCTTCTCTGTGCTGGTAGTGTGAGTGGAAGTAGAATACTGACTATACCAATAGTTTCTGGAAGCTGGCAGTACTGTAACCCCTGCTCAGTTGTATCCTGGTTCTTTATTCTCAAAAGATACTGGAATATTTTAGCTCTGATATTAATACTGTTATTTAAAGATGTTGCGTTAACGTGCAGTTTTCTTTAAGTGCTGTCTTCTAAGTGCTCTCCAAGTGCAGAATCTTCTTTTCCAGCAGACTTTTCTTGTCTTGCATCTGACAGATAGATACTTGATGTTATTTCCTAATGCAGAAGGCAGTCTGACTCCATTTAGTTTATTTCCTTTTTGTCTAACAGCACCATTAATTATACTGTGAGGGTTGTCTCTCTGCTGTGGCTGTGATCAGAGGAAAGGAAAAAACAGCAGTAAGTCTTTGGGTGCTCTAGGAATTGAGGAGTTAGATTTCTTCAGTGGGTTGCTTGAGCGTAGAAAACTGTTGCAATTTTTGTTAATTCCAAATGTCACTTGTTCTAGATATTCCAGACCTGTCCCAAGGAACTTTCACTGTGTGGTAATGTAAGGGAGAAGAACCTGCAGTACCACTCACTGATGTTCTGCTTTGGGAAGAGTGTGTGATAGCAGCTAATCCAGAGATTTTGTAACTCAGCTTGAAGAAAAATCAAGCACCATCTATGAATTCTAAATATTTAATGCTTTAAGTATTATTTTCTGTTTGGGTTCTGATTAGTATTTCCAGTTGCCAACCAAGGTTAGAGTTAACAGAGTATTTGCTGTGGCAGAGTTAGAAAATTAAGAACTCTTACTAATACTGGTACTGTAAAATTTTAATCTAATTTAATCTACCAATTTAATATGTCAAAAATGCTTTAAGGATACTTCAGCATACTTTCTACCTAAGAGAGTGATTGATTATACACAGTTTGCCTTTTTAATAATCAACATTGGGTAACAGTCTTAATTTTTTTTTTATTGTCAGTACTCAGTTAACTGATTGGAATATTTATGGCATGGGTATGTATATAGTGTTTGTATAGTCATAAAATCTCTTTGAATTTTGATGGTTTAAGATCTCTGAGCATACATGTAAGACAAAGATGTGATGTAGGCACATGTGTTTGTAAGGTTTGATGTGAAAAGAATCTTACCGGTATTTGCATGCAAGGAATTTTTAGGAGTGAGTGAGTTTCTGATGAGATGAAGGGGAAAAAAACAGGTAAACATTTTGAAGTCTGGTATTAGTTCAACAGAAGACTGTCATTTCCTAAACTGGAAGTAATTGAATTATGTGTGTATCTGGAGTAGTTAAATGAGATCATTTGCCATAATTACTTTATGTCTAACAAGGTCTGTTGCCATTTAGATTTTATGTTATGATTTGAATCTTAAAAAGAGAGGAGCTTAACCACTGGATGTTGAAAATAACCAATATATTATTAAGATTGGAACAGAGGCTGTGTTTCAAGTGTGTCTTTAAAAATCTGCTGTCAAGGTGAACCTTCGCTTGTGATCTGTTTGCCACAGTCTGTTAACATGTGTATGTGACATAAAGAAACAGCTTTGGCCACCCCAAATAACAGTATTTGTTGTTTGTTGCTCTTGGGACCGAATCATTTAAATATCTTAATTATTTTTCTTGTTCCATTTTACTGAGCTAGAAGGAGAAGCTGTTCTATAAATAAGGAGCTATTTCCAAGAAAGTGTGTAGCATTAAAACTGTTTTTATGGGATCATTGCAGAGGAGGTGAATATTTGTGGTTGATGTCTAGTGCTGTAAAGTGAGTGAGAATAATCTCTGTCCAAAGAAGTTTCTTGCTAGGGAAAAATCTAATTGCTCAAGAAAAGCAGAGGTTTTGTGTGAATAACTTTTCATGTTTCCTGGTTGTCAGAGATTACAGGGTAAGGTGCTGCTGCTAGAGTGATGGAGTAGCAAGTAATTCTTATCAACCCGGTAATGTATTTGTTTTAGCGTAGCCAAGGAGAGACCTAAAATTGACTTAAATGCTTCAGACTCACTTAAATGATGTTATACAAAACCATAGGTTTGTGATACACTGCATTAAATAACTTATTTAGACTGTATATTTATTTGTATATCCTACTGATGGAAAGTATTTGCTGTTAAGGATGTTAGTATTTTACTTAACCTGCATCTCTGCTCTACAAAGCAACCAGATCAAGGGATGTTATCTGAAATTAGCACCAGGATATGCATCTTGGTAATAAGTTGTATATAGCTTTGGCTTTTTTTTGGCTTTTTTCCCTGAAAGATAGTCATGTCTTTTGAATCATAATTAATTAAATGAAAAATTTTGGTCTGTTACTGAAATAATTGGAATGATATTAGACTTGAATTTGGCAAATAAGCTGTAGAACAAATCTTACCACATATTATATGATAACAAGTTCCCTTTGATCATCTAGCTTTCTTTTGAAAGATAGTTTCTATCCATAGTCATTCATTCAATTAACTTACTATTTTATAAAGTAGAATTCCAGTAAATTCAGTTTGTGGTTTTTGGTTATATGTTTTGGTTTGGGTATTTTTCTCTGAAAATGATTCCAGCTGAAACAAAACGCCCTGATGTTTCATGTAAGCTTATTTTTCTTAATCAGGTTTTTGTGATGAGGGATGCTTGGAAATGCTAAGACTGTACATTTTGCTCTATTCCAGTGCCTGATGACCTCTCCATAGAAGAAAGAGAAGAGCTTCTAAATATTCGTCGCAGGAAAAAAGAACTGATTGATGATATTGAGGTAACTGATTTATCTGTAAAGGTCCTTAGAAGACTTATTCAGTAAATTAAGTAACAGTAAACTGCATACTTAGGTATGTATTCCAGGCAGTGTTTTTAAAAGCATATAAATGGCTTAAACTAAATCTTACTAATAATGAATAGGATTTATGCATCATTTGTGTGCTTTTAAAAATGCTAACTTCTTTATTTACATAATGCAATATGTGTATATGTACACATTTGTCGAATCAAGAATTCATTAAACAGCAGATTTGCATACAGGATAGGTGTGAATGAGAAATCTGGGTAAAGAAATTCTATGCTGCAATTGGTAATGGCAATTTGGTCTTGATACTCTGACATGGGAGTTTAGATCCCATGTGTATTTAACATTCAGTTGTGGTAAAATCTTTAAGCTAAATATCTAAGGAAGCCATAAGATTCATCATTTTTCTTCAGGTGACAGCAAATATTAGAAAATAAAATCTAATGGATCATATTATATGATAGATGATTGCAAAAAGCATTATAATATAGGTTAACATATTGTCCTTCCTTTTTTTTGGCAGAGATTAAAATTTGAAATTGCTGAGGTTATGACAGAAATTGATAATCTGACTAGTGTAGAGGAAAGGTAAGTAATTCTAACATATGGACATGATTCAGTAAGACCTTGGAACAGGTCTTCCAGGAATAGCAAATAAAAACAGCTTTAGCATGCTAAACAAATACTGGATCACCTTTATTCAGTCTGTTATAAAGTCTCTAAAGCCTGACTTTATCCTGTTCAGGTGTGTCATTTATTTGGATAGAGAATATGCTGGATAGAATTTTAGACTGTCCAATAGGTAATGATATAGTTCTCTGAAACTGTAATCACTTGAAAGAATTGAAAATAGTAACATAATTTTCCCCCTTATAAAATGAATGTCTTGTTTTTGTAATAGAAAATACAAAGTAGCCAAAATACAAATTAAAAGAAGCTCCTCCAGAAGTTGTTGTTTTTGTAAAAGATAACTGCTTGTTTTTATTTTTTTCACCATGTGTAGCAAAACCACACAAAGAAATAAGCAAATAGCCATGGGAAGGAAGAAGTTCAACATGGACCCTAAGAAGGTAGAGGATTTTTTTCCCCCCACTTCTCAGTAATCACTTTCCTGCTTGTAATATGATCTATGACAAATACAGTCGTGTTTTCTTAAGAAAACATTTCTGATAAGTTCACATGCCTGATTTGTATATCCTGTAACATACTGAGCAGAGAGTTAAATCAGAAGCAGTCACCTAGATATTTGCTAGTCATGTGTGCTTTTTTCACCTAAGCGAACCCTTTTTGATAATGGAGGTTATTTATCAGCAATCAAATATGACAGGTATTGATTGAGTTGGCTTGCAGAAAGATTATATGTACCTGATAGAGGTGTTCTATGTTGATATATCAGACATAATTTTAAAAATATTTTGATGCTTGGTTATTAGTGAGGCCATATGTTTTTTTTTTTATGCCCTGTTGTTTTTTGTTTCTTCTAGAATACTTTTAACATGTTTTTTTAATTTGTTCTATAGACTTTTATATTTGCATATCTAAATTCTGTTTGTGAAAAAAGCATGTGTGAACATTTGTGTGTTTGTATACATATATACTTATATATGTGTACCTGTATGGCTTGTACAAACACATACAGGTAGAAACTTGGTTACCTGTTTCACGAAGTCTACTGTGCATTCTGCCAAGAAGTAGTTAATTTCTCTGCAGTGCCTTTACTTTTTAAAAATAATTGTTAATTTTCTGGAAAATTCAGGGACCCTCCACATGTTCTTACGGACCTCCTCCAATATATTTTAAAGAGCTGCTTTGACGTACTTGACCTTTAGCCTTTATTTCTCATTTTACATCTTCCTTGCTTTGTTTTACTGCCTTCTGTTATTTGTAATTGAGATTACATTTTGAATTTGTGGAGAGTCTTCTTTAAGGTCCTTTTGGAAATTGTTTAGCATTTGTTTTTCTGGGTTAATTCTTGCCATGTTTTCTTTCCAGTTTTGTTGAATTCAGTTACAGTTTGTGGCTTTTCTGTGATGTTCCAAGTACAGTGCTGGCTGCTATTCTTCAGGCTGTTTTCAGTCTACTAGAAACACTCAAATACTTTGAGATACAGAACCCTTTTAAAGCTACTGACCATGCCTTTTATTTTTATTTTCCATTTTGGTGACTGTCTAACTTTATGTTGAAGGCAGAATATCCCCAGATATCCTGATAGTTTGCTGTTGTCCTCGAGCTCTTTCACATCCTATAAGTTTGTGGCAAAGTCACAGGGTGATGTCAGATGCTTTCATTCCCATGTTAACTATTTTTTGTTGCTGTTCTTGCTGGGTGAAATTTTTTCTATAAATAGATGCCATGGCTGCATTGCTACTGTAACATAATTTAAATGTGGTAAACAGACTTACAATAGTAATTTCTTAATAATGTCTATGAATCAGTGGTGGCCTGCAGTAGCTGGCTGCTCTAAAGCTAGATCATCATGTTGTTTGCAGCTGCTACTTTAAATTACAGGCAGTTAAAACATATGTCCTTCTAATGTTGAGAGAATTAACTTGGGGTCATTGCAGAAAGGATGTTTTTCATTCATAAATGGGAGGGAAGATGGTCTCTGGAGTTAGGAATGTGAAAGAACTGGGATAGTATGACAGGTGCTGAATCCCCCAAGTTTTCTTCTCTAAACCCAAGTAAGAGATCTAATGTTTTCATATGAGCAGGAACAGAGTGAGGTAATTTTCTTTCACTGCTTTTATTTGAAGACCTTTACATGTTCTAGTACATACGTAGAGCAGTTCTCCCTACCTCCACCCAGAAAATCCTCATTCAAAATAGCTGTGTTTAAGGCAGTTACATGATGTAATATCACGTACCCTGCTGTTTGGGTTTGGTTAACTAGTGTGGGAAGGGCTGTAATGGTAAAGTTTGTAAAACAGTTCAAGAATCTCTGTGCAGAGGACATAAAGCCATGCGGGACATTCACAGCACTGGAAGTCAGTACTGCCTGTGTCAGGCCCAGAAAATGAATTCTCTCTGACAAAGGCAGGGTTTCAATAACTGCAAAATTTGTAATTAAGTTACTGTAAAATCTATGAAATTCAAAGCAGATTTAATTGCACTGACTTAAAAAAAAAAATCTATGGAATATTTGTAGTGAATATTGAATATTTCTGTAGCCATGAATTTTGTGTGGTGAGGTGAAACTAGTACAGCTGTCTTCCTTAAGAAAATTTGCCTCGAGACAAAAGATAGTGTAGGAGTTGATGAGGGTTTGGTAGGCCTGTTTTACCATTTATTCCAGACGCAGGAGATGATGTCCCAGACAAATTCCTTTTCCTTTCTATTTAATTTGTGGCTCTTTAACAGCTTAAAAGTTTAAAAAAAAAAAATCCAGAAAAAGGAAATATAAATTGATTTTAGTGGTGTGTTATAGTATCTGCTTCTGTACACAGAAATTTGTTTTCTGTGCTTCTAGTCATGTCCATTATCTTTTTCAGGAACTTGTACAACTTCTTTAAAAGTGTTATGGTCAATCTGTTTACACTAAGTGTGAATAATATGGTTCAGGTGTTGAACAAGAGAATCTGCAACTGCTATTTCTGATGTCTTTTAGAAGGAAGGTTCTCTGTTGGTTGACAGAGCTGGGGGCTTTTTAAAGAACTTGGTATGGGAAAAAACATTGTGTTTCATACTCAAATGATTTTTTTGTACAAATATTTAGTTATTAAGTAAGCTTTGAAGGGATCATTTTTGAGGAACACTCAGCTATTTCTGCTTCAAGATAAAATGGATATATTCTTGCAATGAAATCATGTCTGTACTGAAATGACTTAATCAAAATATTAAGTTGTCAGAATATCAGCCTGTCATTGAAATTAAGCTTTCAGGTGATGATAAAATTGTGTTGAGAGAATTGCATTCCAGACTTTTTGAAAAAAGCTTCAAGCCTTATAAAATCACAGTTCATTTTCTTTGTTAAATTAGGTCAGAAGATTGACTTTTTTTGTCAGTCAGGTAATCATTTCATTATAAAAAAACCCAGAATCAACCAAACAGAAGGATAATTACTTTTCCGAATGTTACTGCAGGGCCTCCTGTGCTATATCAAAAAATAATGGGAAATTTTCCCAGTTGCAATGAAATAAATATATTCCATTTGCAGAAATTGAAAAAGTTCTATTATTTCTGAAATGATGAAATATTCTAGTAGAAAAGATTTGGAATAATTTATTAAGCCCTTCTCTACATTTTTGGAATCCAAGACATTAAGGTTACTTTTAGTTGCTACTTTTCACTAGCATGCTGTTAACAGCTTTATGAAAACAGCAGAAATAGCAACATCTTTGTTGGGATGTGTGGTGGGAAAAAAAAGAGTGCTATCTCTTCATGACCTGCTGAGTGTTGGAGTAACATTCCTTCCATCCTTTATGTAATCTTTACATAACTCTTAGTCTCCTTTCTTTACCGCTTTGCAGAAAGTTCTCTGGGCATCCCTAGAGTGTGCCAGTTATAGGGCCAGTAATTTATGGAGGCATAGGAGACCAGGGGCTTGATCAAGCACCCACTGAGGGACAGGGTAAGACTCTCCTCCTGGTTTTGATAGAAGCTCCGTGGTAGAAGCTTGACTGGTTCATGAACAGTCCTTTGTGAATAGTTTAGTTTCAGCACAACCAGGAGTCACTGATAATCCCAGTGTCAGTGTAAACTCTTTTAAACTGGTTTCAGTATCCTCAGCTGCGACTTCTACTGCAAGTAGAATAAGCAAGGCTTGATGTATTGGGTTGCAGTTTGTAGATTATAACAGATGCTTTATTTTGTGTCATGATGGTAATTAAGTTATTCCTATGTACCTCTTCATTATATGATTTTACAGATTATGTCTCTGCAGATATAGTGACCAGGTCAACTCACACATTTAACTCCAAAGAGCAACATGGAATCATTATTCAAATAATATTTGGTATTTCTATTGTTGAGGGATTCAAACTGCCACCTAGTACTTCTAGCCTTAAAAATGTGTTCTCAATATAATCTTTAAACCAGTACTAAATATTGCTTATCTAACTGAAAAACATTTGTTCACCATTTCATTATATATATAAAAAAAATAAATCTGTAGGCTAATGTAATAATGTGCTGTATATGTGTCTGTGTCGGTATATTAATAACAAATGTTATGAGCAGTACTTACATAAATGCTTGTAGAAGAAAACATAACATTCCTTTTCCTCTGGAATTGCTCTTCCCAGGGAATACAGTTTCTGATAGAAAATGACCTCCTGCAGAACACTGCAGAAGACATTGCACAGTTCCTTTATAAAGGAGAAGGATTAAATAAAACAGTAATTGGAGATTACCTCGGTGAAAGGTAAAATAAAAATACTGAAACTTTGTTCTTGAGTTTACAAAGCATACTTACGGGTTTTGGTAGTTACCTTCCCCTTCACATGCTGGATGAGAGAGCAACTCTACTACTCTGAGATCTGTAAAAGCTACAGTGGGAAGTAAAACTACCATGGTATTGTGATAGGGTTTTTTTCTGTTAACGTGTTGTTCTTTTTAAATGGGTACATTGTAGAATGTTATTTAATTCATTGTAACTTGCTGTTTTGAGAAAATACCCTTAAATTTGGCTATAGTGCAGAATTTAATACCATAAGCTTTGGAATGTCTGAGAGTTGTATTACAGCAGTTCCGGTAACTCTTGATACTGTGCCCAGACAAGGAGTGATTGCAGTTGCTAATAATTGGAATGTAAAGAAATTACTTATGAACAGAGGTAGTTCCTGGGACAGTAGTTATAAGCAGGTTTTAACGTTGTCGTCTTCCTGCTCGCAAACTTTCCAGAATTAGTAAGGAGATTTCTCAGAGGGCAACTGCACCATATCTTTATCAATCTTAGTACAATAAACATGCGACATGCATATTTATGCATACTGTTGCAAAACACAATCAAAATGCAAATTATTCCATTGCTGTGCAACCCAGGAATTGATTTTGAAAAAGGCAGCAGAAAGACAGAAGTGAAGAGTGGATTGGAGTACGTGTATCTGCATGCTTGTGCATGTTCCAGTTCAGATGCCATTATGGAGGTTTTAAACATTGACTCATTTAGGATATACTCCTGTAGTGATACGTTCTGGCAGATCCCTTTTGAAGCACCCGTAATCTGTTTACAGTACAAATGGTTTAGTTTGTGCTCAGCAGTTTCCTCCTGACTCTAATAGGTTTAATGAAAGTCTTTACTGTAATATTTATATCTTGAAAATAGATCTTCACTATGAAATTTCTGTACAGTATATGTAGACATTTCAACAATTTTTATACAACAGCATTATGTGTCGCTTGAATATGTGAGCAATCAGTATTATAAAATCACTTATATGTTAATGTCCATAATTGCAAAGCTTGTTTAAATCAGTCTGTGTCCATTTTTGAGAGCTGCATTCTACCTTGATATTGTCTTCTGAAATCCTTCCAGTTTTTCTGTGAAGGATGTAATATTAATATGGTAATGGCAATATGGCAAGTGGTATTTCTGTCTTTTTTTTTTTTTTTTTTTTTTTTTTTTTTTTTTTCACTTACATGAATTTATAAGGGAGGTGGAGATGAACAGATGACAATCAGATTTTTCAGGAAATATGTATGGAAATTTCAAAGTAGTCAGGTCTGGAATGGGGAGCTGATTCGTTATACTCCTTTGAACTGCATCATTAATTTCTTAGAATCCTTAATTTCCTAGAATTAATTATTTTTATTCATGTTTTTCTGAAAACGATGTATTGGGCCTTTTGGTCCTGGGGTAAAATAAATACCCTGGAATAAAATAAAATGTGACCATTGAGGCGATCTTAAACAGGCCATGAAGTGATTTGTGCTATGCAAATAGCAGTGCATATTACAGATGAGCGTTTGTTGAGTTACACGCTATCATTTTATCAAGGCATTTGGAGTCAGGACGTTCTCTTTTGTTTTGCCACTCCCTCTGGGGAAACCATCATGAATTACTACTTCATTCTAGCTAAATATAGCTGAAGACAGGACCAGGATAGTCAATGGAATTAAATATTTGTGTAACATTTTGCCATAAAGAGTTGTATTTTAAATTATTGACTCTTTATAGCATTATAGCACTCATCAAACTGGAAAAAATTGAATGCTAAAATGGAAAATGATAATACCTAAAAATGTACAATAAATAAGGGATTAATTACATACTATAAAAGATTTAAGATTTCTTTATATGTTGGTAAGTTTTCACTTACTTTAAGTGGCTCTGTAGACGTTTCATGTTTGGCTTGTGTCTTTGGAGCTGTACTCAGCACAAGTATCACTATTAATCCAGTCTGCATTAAAACCTAGAAGAGCAGAGATTGGAGTATTAGACTAATACTAGAGTATAAGACTAATACTTATTCTGAATTACTGCAGCTTTACGTACATATAAGCAAAATCAATGTTTGGCTTAGAGTAACAAAGTACCCCTATTCAGCCCTACAGTTGAATTGTGCAATACTAAATTCTATGAGAATTGCTTCGTTTTCCTTGACAGAGCTGATACTGTAAGCAATATGGGGACTTCCTAATGAATAAATGGTTTAAAGGTATTTACTTACGAGTGTTACAGGTTAGTCTGACTATGCAGTTAGTAACACAACAGGTAATTCTTGGTGGATGCACACCTCTCTGTTTTCGGGTGGAGGCTGATATGCAACATTCTGTCTTGGTGATGTATTTAAAGCACACCCTGAGGTTTATAAACCTTTACACTTCTGGTGTATGAACTCAGTGATGGTGTAGACTAAATACTGTCTGCACCCAAATAGTTTTGTGTTCATTAATGTTTAAATGTTCTTTTGCATTTAGACACTTCTGTATCAAACAAAGCATAATTTGGCTCATGGTTTACATAGAAATATAAAAGATAGGTGAGAGGAAGCCCAATCAAAACCTATTCTGATTTTAGTAAACTTTCATTGTAACGATTTTTCAGGCTGGAGTAAGAATATAGTATGTACTAAGTAGCTCTTTTAAAAAAGCTGTTCTCTTTTTTTAGGAACATTTCTGTTCCTCTTTGTACATAAATTAATATACTGCTTTAATATTTTTTGTTCTTAGAGGAAAAAATGGGATAGGGTTTTTTCCATGTGTTTGCATGGCTAAAGAAAAGTCTTTCGCAGAAATTGTGTCATGAGTTCTTCGGTGAATAAGTTTATCAGATATCATCCCATATCAAGACAGCTGCACTAGAAATAAATGTGACATGGAGAAGGCCAGGCCATTTTCAGGTCATTTAAATAAGCAGTGCTAAAATCAGTTCAACTGTACTGGCTCTTGATAACCTACCTTTTTAATGCCAGCAATAATGGCTAAAATACTAGCGTTAAATCTAAAAATACTTGTCAAATAAATGTGTAAACTATTTCTGATTACTTGACTTGATCAGTATGAACATTTATTTCCTTGCTTATTCTTGGAAGCAAATAGAGATAACTAACAAGCCTTTAAAGTTCAGAACTGTAATTCTCTATTTCCATTTTTGTCTTTCACAGAGATGAATTTAATATTAAAGTTCTTCAGGCTTTTGTTGAACTCCATGAGTTCGCTGATCTCAATCTTGTACAAGCCTTAAGGTGAGTAAATTCCTCCTTTTTTTTTTTCCTTTTTTTTTTTTTTTTTTTTTACCTGAGCTTCCTTGATTGAATTGCATGTTCATATGAGTCACTGTGTTGATTTATTTGCCAGAAAGCTGATCTACAGCTCAGCATGGTTATACACATTACTGTGCAAGTTAGCAGAGACAGCTCTGTTTTAACTCTTCCAATTGCTTGTGTGTGTGCTGCCTTCGAAAAGTGAAAACTTTTAACTATTTCAGACAAATACAAACAACTGAAACGTAGCTGTAACTCTGGTGCGCCTGCCGTATGTGGACATTTGAATATCTGTTTTTATACCTTAGCACAGAGATAGGTAAAAACCAGTCAAAGCCCTAACCCAAGCAAAGACATATTATTTGCTGCTGTCTTCTTTCTCCTTTCCTTCCACCTCGATTTGTTCCTCTGGGTGGGGAGGGGGGGAAATCCCACTGACCATAGTCAGTGATTATGTTCCGTTTACAAAGATGTAAACTTTGAATCAAATAATTTCCTTTTACTTTCATCAGAGTTTCCCAAGTTGTCATATGAAAGAAAGTGTAATATCTTTGTGTATTTTTTTTTTCCCTGGCTGAGTGATCAGTTTATTTGATTTCTCTAGCATGCCAGCATACAGTGACCTTGTGCAGTCCCTTCTCGTCTTGGTGGAAATCCATAATAGATCTAGCAAATTAAGTAGATTCAGACAGTTCTGCCAATTCCATTGCCACAAGTGACTCCCTCCTGACACCAGATAAATTGAAATGTCCATGTGATCTTTGTCTCTGGTGCAGTGCCTCGTGATGTGGAGTCAGAACAGCTTTGCTATGGTTGAGTGATATGGTGGTGATGATAACTTGAGCTGCCTGAGGCTTGAGCTAAGGAAGCCTTTTCTCTGGCTGCTGAGGCTTGTCAGGGAGGCTTCATATTCCTGTCTCTTTTACCCAATTTAATGTTAGGTTTGATTTTATTCTTCCTTAGCAGCCGCTACTATTAAATGTTTGTATTTTGGTAGCTTACAAAATTCGTGATCTGGGTTGGAACCTTGCATGAGGTGAGTAAAAGACAGTATATAGAGCTGACAAACTAAAGATGGCCTGTGACACTTTAATATAATGTCCTAAAATGAAAACTGATGAAGACAGGAATAAATGGTTATTCTGTTGACACGCAGTGTACAGGGAATATTGAGAACTTGTTTTGCATGGCAGAGCATGTAACTTTGCTGGTTTAGATCCTGTTTTAATTCAGATAATTCTTTTGCTGAGAAAGAAAAAGAATAAGTGATTAAATTAATTGGAGCTTTTTAGCGCCACAGTGTGCCAAAAGTGAATTTGTGAAGACTTCTGTCCTGTATGCATTCCAGTGTACCTATATATAGAAATAGTAAGTTATGAAAGTAAAAACTGTATTCCAGTTCATGCTGCTAAACAGGAGCGCAGATCTCCTGCACGTATTACAAAATTACTGGATGATATCATGTATCTCTCTTTTTTACCATCTGGGTCTGATTCTTGTAGGGTGAACTTAGACTAGACAGGCAGCACTTCTCTAAGCAGTGGGATTTTTTGTGGTGGTGTTACTATTTTTTCAGTGGTTGAGGAGTTCAGGATGATGTGTTAGGGTTTTTTTTGTTGTTTTGTTTTTTTTTTCTCCTTGCTTCTCTTCCCCACCAGAAATACTTTATGTAATGTGTCTTTTACATTGTAAGTATAGACTAGCTGAGTGTTTATTGCTTTTAGTAGCCAGGAAACCCAGGGAGGATTGAACTGATTGTTTCCCCATAGCATTCTCATGGCAAAAATGGGATGCATACAGAAAATTGTTTACTAGTCTGGAAAAAAGAGAGTCTCAGAAAATGAACTGCCATATTATCTTGCCTGATAGCATGCAGTGTTGCTGGCTGAATAACTGGGCTAGCCATCTGTGCATGTTGCTTTATAATAGCTCCTGACTTGTGTGTTGAGAGATTGAGAATATATTTCTAGGACATTTTATATAGATGTTCCTGGGGGATTTTTTGTTGTTGTTGTTTCTGATTATTAGTAGTGTATGTTTAACATATAAATATTGGAATGAGCCTAACAACTATTCTTCCCTTCTGTAGGCAGTTTCTGTGGAGCTTCAGACTCCCAGGAGAGGCTCAAAAAATTGATCGTATGATGGAAGCTTTTGCTTCACGCTATTGCCTTTGTAACCCAGGAGTCTTCCAGTCTACAGGTTAGTCGGAGGAAACAATAGGATTTCTTAAGTGTATATGTTTTTGGGGTTTTTTATTTTGGTTTTTTAATCATATATATTCTTCCACATCTGATGCAAGGAGACAATGGTCAGTTAGGAAGTTCAGGATAAAATAATACGTGAAATGAGAACTTTCTGAGAACTGAGAAAACACAACTCTCTACTCCTACACTTTGTTTCCAGGAGTGCAAGCTTATGGTCAGAATGCATTTCCATTTATAAAACTTCAGCATTAATAGATATCTAAGCCAATTAAAATATAAAACACACTTTAAAAAATGTCACCAAAGATTTTGGTTAGGAATTGGAAAAGTAAGATTTTCAGGGGCTTAAAGGCAGTAGAGACCAGTAGGTTGGGTAGTCTTGCTTGTCAGTTATAAGGACTTTACACCTGATTAGCTCTGTATCAAGTTGACCTATATATGGGTATAGTATATTATCTAGAAAGTCATACATTTTTATGAGGACTGTAGCCTTTCTCTTTAGCAGTCTGTTCAATAATAATTATCTCAGTTAGAAATGCACCTCATTTTTCTGTTGAATTACTTGGTTTAGAATTACTCAAGTCATAAAAGCTAAGAAAACTTCGTGATACTGCACAGAATGCCCTAGCATTGGTCTGTTTAGTTCAATGCACACATAGCTTGCTGTTGATCACTTAGTTTGAGGAACAAATGGGCTAGGATAAGGTTAAAGCAGGGCTGCAAGAGATGGAGGGGAAAATACTTACTGAAAACAAAATGCTGAAGATGCAAAAACATTTTTCCTCTATGTAGCAGAGAGGTTTTCAGCCTGCTCTTTCTTACACACGATCTTGTACTTGAATTCTGGGACAATTTACTATAATCATAACTGTGTCAAGAGACATGATAAGATCTCCTTTGTAATCTTGTGATATTATTCAGTGGTACTAGCCACCTCATGTATGCTAAGAAAGTGAGTCACTGTCATTTCCAGTCTGTTTAAATGCAGTTCAAATATTACTTTGAAGAAACTGTTCTTTCTCTTTAGAGAAAGCTTTAGAAGTACTTTGAGTAGGAGTCTGATAAAGTCTATTATAAGATCTACCAATATGATCGAGGCAAAATCTGTGTGCAGAAAACATTTTGCCCAACAACAGTTCAGTGTTTCAAGGGAAATGTTAATTTAAGGTGAAGGCAATGATTTCAAAGAGCTTAAATTTTTTTTTGGATTCTCTTGTACTATTTGCATTTAATTTGAATTGTTATATATTATGTCTTTTTAAGCTTACTTCAACAATTTTAAAGATTTGATACTTTGATTTTGTGTATAGTGCTCAGGATTTTTTGACTACTTGTTTCATTTTCTTTATCAGTCAGAATAAGCTATGTATTCATTTTACAGGCTTGTGCCACAATGCATAGTAAGATAAATAATTTTTCAAATCTTTTTTCAGATACATGCTATGTGCTTTCATTTGCCATCATTATGCTAAACACCAGTCTGCACAACCACAATGTAAGAGATAAACCAACAGTTGAGAGGTTTATTTCTATGAATCGTGGAATTAATGAAGGTGGAGACCTTCCAGAAGAATTACTACGGGTAAGTTAGATTGAGTAAGACAAGGCATTGCTTTCTGTTTTTAATAGGAAACATAAAAGTGTATATGACAGTTCTCAGGCAAATTTGCAGAGGGACAATAAGAACATTTTCTAGCATGTGAGTAGCTGAAAGAAGCATTTTCTGATGTTCACAGCTTCTTTGAGCTTGTTCTCCCTGTATTCAATCTTTTGTTGAGGAGAGGAGATTCCAGAGAAGACAGTCTGTATATCTCTCAGTAGTTTGCTGTTTACAAAATTCTTGTGGAATTGGTGGCTTATGAAAAAAAAGTAGTATTTCTGGGTAAGTCAGAGAAAGCTGGAAAAAATAGTAAAATCGTTGTTTTGTTATTGCCTCTCATTTCTTCCCATGTGTCTTGTGGAGCTTCCTCCTGTCCCTTGAGATATCAGTAAAAATACTTGTTTCTCTAAGACAGTATAATGGTCTAAACCATTTTCTGGAAAGCCAGATTCATTTGGCAAAACTTGCACTAAATGAGACCTTTTAAATACCGAATGCTGCAGTTAAAGAAAAAATGTCTTTGCTAGGAGTGCTTATAAAATCTGTAAAAGGGACACTTGTTTACAGATGAAGTAGTTTAAAATCAAACTTAATCAAAGTAGTAAATAAAGATTTAGAAGAGATGGTCCAGAATTTTATGGACAGTATTTCCTGTGCTTTCTATACAAAGAGTTTGAGAAGCAGTAAGATATCGTCATTGCATTTTCTGTTAGACATTTATTAATGAGGTCTTTTTCCTCTTTTTTTTTATTTTTCTAGAATTTATATGAAAGTATTAAGAATGAGCCATTTAAAATTCCAGAGGATGATGGAAATGATCTAACACATACATTTTTTAATCCGGATAGAGAAGGTTGGCTGCTGAAATTAGGTTAGTTATAAGGGCAGTTTTGCTGCTGTATGTTTGTTTGTTGTTAGCGTGTTTGCCGCTTCCATGTCTATCAGCTTTCTTGTGAAGGTAGTAGGATTAACTTTGTAATTTGTATTTAAAAATGTATGAATCAAAGTAACTCCTTTACATCTGGAGGTTGTTACTTCCTATTTTACATATCCAAATTAGCAATCATTTCAAACTTTGAAGTTTTATTTCTGATATATGAGAAATAAAAACTCAGTGACAAAGGAAACGCTGTATGATGTTTACCACATGCTGTGAGTGATAAATAACAACTAAGTCTCCATAAGGTCATTTCAGAAAACTTTGTGATATTTCAGCTCAGTTTTCTGTGTATTAAAAAAACAAAACAAAACAAACAAACCAAAAAAACAAACAAAAAAGGATTTCTCTTCAAACAGTTATTTTTGTATGTCTTTATTTTTCCATATTATTTGTGAGTTTCTCTTGGTTTGGTTTTGGCTATGATTTTTTAATGAGTGGTTTAAATGTGCCTTCTTGTTTTCCTTATGGCCTATGACCTATCACCTTTCTGTTCTGTGACTGGCTGTCTCTGCTTATTCTGCATTAGGAGGTACGTATCTGATTGCTTTCCAGTCTCCTCTTCTTCAGTTGCTCATTCTTTTATTTTCTTCCTCCTTCCTCCTTTTTTTCTTTTATTTTTTTTTAAATCAAATTTTTTGTAGCATTTTGCTTTATCACTCAGTGTCACTAACAGTATCATCAGTGGTACTCTGAAAGACTGGCATGTCAGTGTCTAGCTCACATGCGAGTGTGTTCTGCAAAAGAAAGTGTGTACATGTAAAGCGGAAGAATAAAGATGACTATTCAGCATGTTCTTGTTCACTGAAGAACGTAACAAGGGAAGAATTACTTCTGCTGAGAGAAAACAATGTATCTTACTCTTGTAATGAAGTTCCAGAGTGATTTTTTTTCTTGCTTGTACATCAATTATATTAGATTATTGAAAGACTGATTACATTTGAACTATGCATTTATAAAAGCTGTTCTTTTTCTTACTTATTTCCTTTTTAAATAACATACTTAGTTTACTTAACAGAATCTTAAATGAGCATCAAATCTAGGGTTGCAGAAACCTCTGGTAATTTGCAGTCTCTTGGCACTGCAGGGTGGTCTCATTTACAGACTCAAAGTTGATGGGATTCACTTTCTTACTTGGGCTTCAGGATTTTTTTTTTCTAGATGAAAGAGACTGAAATTTTATTTTAACATTTGTTTTTCAATGAAATAAACCTCTTTTCTATAAAACACCAGTACACACTCCAGTAGAGCCAGTTGTTGGCCACCTTAATGTATAACTGCTTGTTAAAGTAGAAGGAACTTTGTGCTTGGAGAATGGTGACTAAAGTGCTGGGGGGTGCACAGGGGGGTGAGTATGGTGCAAGTAGAGCCTGGTTAGAGCCATGGGCCTGCTTGACCAATTGCACCTGGAAATTAGTGACCATGCTAGTGCTGGAAGGAAATAGATGTGAGAAGGGAGTATTTGGAATTCATTCACATGCTCTCCAATGTCTTATTTTGACCTCTGCACTACAGATGGTATAGAACTCTTTGTCTTTCTAACTACAAAAAAAGCAAAGCCCTTGCTTTTTCATGTGTGTTGGCTCAGCTGGCACAGTTTCAAAGGTGACTTTGCAGCTTTTCTCCATTTAGTGTAAGGTGATAGTTATCTCAACAGAAAAGGTTTTCAAGATGATGTAGATAAAATGTGCTTTCTGGAGAAGAGGTTGGGTATAAGCCCCTGCTGTGCATATTTCTGTTGCCACTGTGCTCTCATCTACTTAAACACATACTGAGAGTCCAAGCAAGTGTGTGGGTATGTGTAGAGTAGTGACAACATCCCTTATGGAAGAGTCTGTCAGTAAAAGACACAAGAGATCTGATAAAAAATAGAGGAACAAAGAAATTTGAGAAAAAAAGGTGACTGAAAGCCAGTGAGAGCTGCCAGGTACTTCTGCCCTATCCATCTCTGGCTCTGGCACAAGGTCAATAAATCTAACTTTTCATGATGTATGATGTAGATGAGAGAGAGTGCACAGAAAGCCCAATAGTAAAAGCATGTGTGAAACGGAAGGGTGTTGCACATAACACTCCTATGGCATGACGGTTATTTGAATAAAGAAACGTAACATGTCCAGGAGCCTCTGGTGAATCAGCCTGTAAATACGTGAAGCTGTGCTTCCGTGAAAGACTCTGCATTTTTTTCAGCAGACATGGACTGGTGCAGGCAAATACATTTTGCTAGTTTAGGTGCATTGACCAGAAATAAACCTGTCAATCTTTTTTTCTTTTTTTTTTTTTTTTCCTTTCTTTCCCCTTCTTTGAGTTTCCTATTTGCTAGGAGGCTTCCAACTGTATGTTGAGAGTGCTCTCTTGATTCACATTGTTTGCATTTTTGCAGTCCTTTCTGTTGGGAAACACTTCTTGTGAAATGGGTAGGGTTTCCCTCAGTTTTGGAAGATGCTGATATTAAAAGTTTCAGTATTGTTGAAATGCTAAGGAGACTGTATTTCTATGTGAGACTTTTAAGTGCTCAGTTGTAATAATACTCAAAAGTTGAAATAGAAAGTTTTATATAAAACTATGACTAAGACAACTTGCAAACCCTGAGTATATCAAGAGAGTATTTTGTATTTGGTGTTTCTTGTAGTCAACTCTTGCCATTTCTCTACTTGTGCCCCTTTTTTAATATTCCAGGTCACTGCTTTGATTATCTGCTGGGCAGGAGATGGGTATTGTGAAACTTTCATATACTGTAAAATTGGTCTGTCCCAAAGACCACTCTAGCTCTTTAGCCTGGCATTGGGTTTTGGAAAGTTAGGAGGGTGCAAAATGCTTTTGGAGTGTTTGCTGGTCTGAATTGTTCAGAGGTGACTTTGTGTAAGTCTGAGTGCCAAACCTGGCAGCCAGACAGCAATTCTGGTTTTATCTATCTAGACTCAGCTGGTGCCTTTATATAGATGTCTTTATCTTGGTAAACCTAAATTACCATTCCGTTCTACATTGTTTGAAGCATGGTGTAATGAAAATAAATGCTACAAGTTAAAAAAAAATGAAAGGTGCTGAGTGCTAGTGAATCCTTGGATAGAGCAGCTTGAGACATTATGAGCTTTTAGGTTTTTCTGCATCATAATTGTTAGTGGTGTATTTTTTGCTGTCTGTGCTGTCTGTCCCGATGCCCAAGGTACAAGCGTTTTGCAAAGGGAGGCGTTTCTTTGCCTAAAACAGCTTTTCTTGGCAAATAGCTTGGTTTGCGTAATATTTTATTCTGTTTAGAGGGAAACTGTGACATTATTTCACCAAACTGGAGAGGAAATGATTCGAGCCAGACACATAATGGTGTTAATTTTTTCTGCCAGTCAGACAGTTACTGAGAGCTTGGAGGCTGTCCAAAAGCTTTGCATCTGGGCCCATCCTGGCAGTGGCATTTATCCCGGTGCCTCTCTCCCTAAGAGGATGTCGTTTCTCTTCCCTAATCTGGGGCAAGAGAAGAGTGGTGGTAGATCAGGAAACTGGTGCCTTCTGCTATCTGCCTGGCTCTCGTAGTAACTGATGCTCTTCTAGGTTGAGGCAGTTAGCGTTGCAGTCGAGGGAAACTTCTTTTTCAAAGAAACCCAAATTTTGATCCAGTCACCTGTATAACTGCGCAGTTCCTGAGTCCATTCCACCTAGTGGCATCTAAGTGAACTGAGAAGAAAGAACGTTTTTGACACACGCCCCCCTCTCTCTCTCTTTCCCCTCTAAAACTTATGTGCTGAAGATTTGGGTAGAATTTTTAAACTCTAGATACAGTGCTCCCTATAGTCTTAAGGCCTTTTTAAATTTTGAAATTGGTGTTTCCTAAGTCATTGCCAGTTGGTTTTCCCTTTAGTATAGGTGTTTTCTTTCACCTTTGTTTTCTAGTTTATACTTCACTCAGAGCTGAAAGAAAATAATCCTGTGTTGGGTTACATAGGCTAAGAGGGTTTCTGTTTCTGTTTTTCTGTACATTTTGCCTCGTTGTGGACTTTTCTTGTAGTTTCCTTAGATTTCCATCTACAAGATACTGTGCTGCTTTGTTTTGTTGTTTGAGATGTCTTTGCATTTTAGTTAATCAGCTAGATCTTTCAGAAGTACATCACTTATCTCTCCATTTCTGTAAATGTGTATGGGTTCATATGCTGATTTTATTGATCCTCTTTTACTAAATTAATTCATTCCATTTTAATCTTGAAAAGGCTGGGAGCTGGAATAAGGTACAAAGTATGGTACTAAACCCTTTGTTGTTGTTTTGTGAGCCTACAGCAATCTCTGCCAAGGAAAAGAATGTTTTGTTATCACGAGTTCTTTACCCATTAATCTTGCATGCAGTGTTTGCAGGCCACAAAGCCTTATCATCCAGCTTCTTGGGTTTTAGCCCATTGTAAAGGCATATTAAATGCATGTTATATGGTGACCCCTGCAAACTTGATGAGTACAGATTAGATTGCCTTTCAAGCTTTATTAGAGTTTCTGTGCAGTTGGCAGCTGCAACTAAGTAATTTGGTGGGGAGACAAGAGACTTGTATGTGAAAATAGTTCCTTGTCCCGCCTAAAAATCCTGGCTTGCTGCTTTTTTCTGGAGGAGAAGAGTAATTCATAGCTTGGTGGAGCAGCGACTTAGGGTGTATTTCCATGACTCACGTGAGCATTGTAACCCGGTGAGCTACTGGCTGTTTTAGGGAGAAAGGAGAGATAAGAGGGATGCTGTTGGAGATACTTTCTGGCTTCAACATCAGTACTATCCTAGAGCTGGGAAATGTTTCATGACAAAAGCTTCATCAGAAATGCAGTATGATTATAAGAAGTTCTGGGTTTGAGAAATCTGTCTTTTCTGAAGAGAGGGAATGTTGTCAGGAAAAACTTCAGCAGATTCAACTGTCATTTACTACTTGGCACTTCATGTTGTTGTAGGAGGTATGTGTTTTAAGTCCCTTGTTTCTGCCTTAAATTATAAGCAGGCCTTCTTTGAAATACATGGGTATTACCTGATTTTTTTAATTGTCTTTTGATGTGTTACTACAGTTTATAAGAAACACCTTTGTTCAGTTTAAGCTGCCTCTGTGATAGTAACCTGTTTGCCTCTTTGGTTCATCCTCTCTCCTGCTGAATTGTTTATCTACTAGAACTGGGCAAGCCATGACATTTAATGCTAGCTGATGTTACCTATTAGCCTGAAAAACGTGGTGACATTTCTGTGCCATAAAAATGTTAAATGATGTTAGCCTTGTTAACCTTAGAGCAGAACATGACTTAAAGTCACGGCAATGAACACTGGGTTATATGAAAAATTGTCATGTTATGGCGATAGCATGGACTGCCCTGGCAGTTGTCTTGACTCAGCTGCTGCTTATTCATTGATCTGGAAGTGAGTCTAAAGTTCGCTGGCTTTCCATTCCTAGCCCGAATACTTCCTGATATTTGAACTAGCTCTCAGTCAAGGTGATGGGATTTTTTCTAGTAACTTACATATCAGTTTGAATGCTTCTACAGTGCTTTATTTAAGGGTCTGTCACAGTGGTTGTACTAAAATGGCACCAGTTCTTCACTCACTGTCTCCAGTTCACTCAACCATTCATTCTGTCACGGCTTCTGCATCTTGCACTATTTTGGCTTCTCTTATTTCACCGCACCTGCTTGCAGATTAAATTTTTTTTAAGATATGTGTGCGTGCAGTAGAAACATGAAGTTTATTGAGTACATTGAATGTGGGGAGTGTGTTGGCACTGGGTTATCGTGTAGGTCATGAAACCAAGCAGAAGATACAACATGCAACGTACTCAGTCTGCAATGCAAACATGTAGTAGGCTGGTATCAAGAAATTACATTATATTCCTATGTGTTCTTTAATATGATTTGGATTTCTGTATTAAACAAACACCCAGCTATCTCAAGTAGAACAAAAAGATTGCACATCTTAGATGCAGTTATATGACTTGGATTAAATTGGGGGTCTTGTGTGTACTAATGGTGTGCTCTTCTATGCACGGGTGTTCAGTAGCAAGATCAACTATTTTGAAATGTTGGGTTAATGAGATTAAATCACTGCTGAATGGATGATGCACAGGTGGTGACATAATCCTGAAGTCAGATAACTATGGTGGAACTAAGCCTGTATATTAATAACACATGAATGCTTTATCTACAATCATCTTTCCTGGAAATGAGGTTTAAAAATAAAGTAACTGTGGAATGCTAGACATGTTCTGAAGTAGCCAATGGCAGAAAACCAGCTGAAAGGAACAAGACAATAATGTGTGATTCTAAAAGGAACTGTTCCCTACAGTGTAGGGACGCTGACATTAGCGGGTGTAAGAAAGAGGAGCTCTGTGGTTGCTGTTGTCTAAACTGTTAATGCAGAAAAAATTGGCATTTTTAGAGCAGTAGCTATTCCTTCTGTCAGGTGTGCTCAGAGATATATTAACACAGCAAGAGAACATACTTCTAAAATACTAAATTATGAAAAGTAACTAAGTGGTATGTTTTGGCATAGGATTTGCTCCTTATTAATGACACATCATATTTGTTCTGCTAATAATGTTTATAAGTATCTTAAACAGTTGATGTTCAATCTGAAAGTAGAGATGGGTTCTTAATTACATGTCTGCTTATGAGACAAGTGAGAAGGTGACAAAATGCCCTTAATTTTATTGATGGGACCCTTTTCTTGTACAAGACAGGCTGTGGAGAAGGTCAGTCTTGCTGAAGCCAGTTACAGGTTTTGCTGGTGATTGGCCTCCCTTTGCCCTGGCAGCACCGAATGCATTTCTGAGGGCCAGATAATATTAATATTTTTGATGTGGTAAACAACTGTGATGGCATGGATGGAGGGAGCAGGTCTGACTGCTAAACTATTACATTCTCTGTAAGAGAGGAGACATCTGCAACTTAAGAGCATACAGTTTTTGTGGCTGGTCAGCAACACCATAGTTAAGGCTGTCTCAGGAGTTTGATCTTGGTATGAGAGTTACAGTAACATGTTCCTTTAACCTCAGCTTGTCTGTGCCTGATCCATTTATGATTAAGCAGTTAAGCCATATTTTGAAAAACAGGCAAAAGTAAATTACTTTCTTACTCATTGTTGAAGCCTTGACAGCAACACATGTTTAATTCAGCCATACCTTTTGATTGTAGGGGGAAGAGTAAAAACGTGGAAACGGAGATGGTTTATTCTGACTGATAATTGCCTGTATTACTTTGAGTACACCACAGTGAGTATATATTACAGTGAACTTCTTTAGTAATCAAGATATTTAAATGGCTAATAATGTGATATTTTCCTAATTTTTTAGGACAAAGAACCTCGAGGAATTATTCCATTAGAAAATCTTAGCATAAGAGAAGTTGAAGACCCTAGAAAACCAGTAAGATATCTTAATAATTTTTTTTTAAGATAAGTAAACCATATAGAATTTGGAAGTAGTGTTAAATTAAGATGTTTGTCAGTTTTGTTTTGGTTTTTTAATTTATTTCTTCATTTCTACCCTCCAGAACTGCTTTGAGCTCTATAACCCCAGTCATAAAGGTCAAGTAATTAAAGCGTGTAAAACTGAAGCTGATGGTAGAGTGGTGGAAGGCAACCATGTAGTGTATAGAATATCTGCTCCCACCCCAGAAGAAAAGGAAGAGTGGATTAAATCTATCAAGTGAGTTTAAAGTCTTAAATGTCTTTCAGAAATTAAGTGTAAACTCTTTTCAGAGTAAGATACTAAGAGAATTTGTATTCTAACTTGTTTGAAGAATTCTGATGTCACGGTGTCCTCTAGGATTAATCACAAGCTACGTGGGGTTGATGGATCAAGATACAAGTCTCCCTGTTACTGTCTGGTCCTGAGGAAGTAGCGCTACTAACTTAAATGTGGAAAACATGAATTTTTCTTTTAAGCAGATGTAAAGCCTTGTGCAAATTGTCTTGAACCTAATTTTATTAGATTGTTACTTCACCTAGTAATTAACTTCAGTGACATGTATCTTAAGCATGTTCACAGTGCATCTTTAAACTTTCACAGTTTGACTTTTATCTTGGAAGGTTTATAAAGCAGACCTGCAATTAAAGAAATAAACAGTGGTCAAGATGAAGGTTTGAACTGTTAACAAATCACAGCTGAATAACATAGTTTTCTGAAGAAATATTTGTGATGCTTGGAAGTCAACCATCCATTATCTTATTAAGAGTGTGGAGTCATCCACGGGGAAGAGAAAAAATAGTTTCAGTTTTCAAAAACATATATTTCTAACAAAACTGATGGTTCCTTTTTTCTCTTCTAGAGCAAGTATCAGCAGGGATCCCTTTTATGATATGCTGGCAACAAGGAAACGAAGAATTGCAAATAAGAAATAGAACGTGATCAGCAACTTTTATACCTGCATCAGCCTATAAATGAACGTATGGTTGAGTGATAATGTAAAAATTGGACAAACTAAATGAAGACAAGAACTGTAAATTTTATATATAAACACTTTACTATGATGTAAAAACTTGGCAAGACCTTTCAGGGTAAATAGTTATTGGCATGTAATTTGAAGTAAGCTTCAAATCCCAGAGGATAACTATAATGAACTTAATTCAACTGAAAACATGGAAGCCTTGTTTTACTTACATTAGTCACAACTCCAGCTTACTTGGGTTGGGAAGGAAGGAATTCAAGGCTAATAGTAAAATGTCCTATACCTGTTATTTGAGTGCATTTCCCATAAAAGGAGGAGTGATTATAAGACTTTCATCTCTCACTAAAATGCAGTACCAAAAGTGGAGTACAGTGTGATCTAGCACTTAATTTTTCAAGCAGAAAACCCACAATCTGTTTTCAAATCTTGTGTGTTTCGCAGTAAATGAACAACTGAATGCAGCTTTCATTTAGGATTTGCTCTCCTTCCTTGATGGAAATGGCTTTTCTTCAGAAATGCAACTCGGTGGTAGACTGGCACCTACGTGGTTAGCTAGTTGTGCCAAAGGGTTTGGTCGATATGCACTGAAGTATACACAGGTCCCAATGGCAAAGGTTTGAGTCTGTAGCCATGACACTAATTACAGATGTGGTTTGATGTTTGCCAGTAGGCTAAAACTCATTCCTGTCTGCTCATACACTCACAATAAGCAGTAAGATTTAATGACTGGTTTAATCTGCTTTTTATATAGTAAGATCCTTCTTACATTTTAGATATGTTGTAGTTTAATTAACACTAAGTTACTACTAAAAGAGTAAGATGACAGGGCTTGCGTGGATTTTTAAAGAGGAAAACCAGGAAGGTGAAATTTTTCTGCAGGATACAGCCCTATAGAGTTAAGCAAGCAGGATTCATTCCTTTGCTTGATAACAAACTTTGGACGTACCGAAAAGTTCAGTATTTTTATTGCGTTCTTAAAGGAGATTTTTCAGATCTGTGCTTCAGCAGTTGAAATTGAAAAAAATGAATAGACAGCCTTATTTTTACTTTAGAAATTTTACACATTGATTACCTAAACTCCCCCACAAGCATGTGTCTTTTGTAATTTGTGGAAGATCTTTCTGTGCTCCTACTGTTAGTCTTTCGGTAACATGCAAACTGCTGTGGCAGATTTTACTAAAATGCTTTTCTATTGATGGTGCACTTACCATTCTTAAGTTAAAACCCCTAATTCCACAGTGGGGGCAAAATCTGGGGGCTTTGGACCCTACTGCTTTTGTTAGTACTCAGTTTTTCACAAACTTGTTGAACCTGAGCCATGCCTACTGTGCCAATGAATGCTTTGGAGACCCAATACATTGTCAAAACAATTTTGCTTGTTGAAGTTACAGAAGCATCTCTGGATACATGTTAGGGAAATGTGCTGCACTGATGATACCACAGACTTAGTAAGTTCTATTTCAAATCTCTTTTTAACTGTAAGGGAGAGTGTGTTTCATTGTTCCTGTCTTACTGATTTGCCTGGTTTTGCATGGGTTGTCAGCTTGTGAATGTTTTGCTTTATTGTATGTTTGCAAAAAAGGCCGAGAGGAAAAGAACAAAGTAAACTATTTTTACACCTTAGATTTTCCCCAGAGATTGTGGAATTGCAGTCTACTTGGATGGCTGTTCAAATCTGAGTACTTTCAAGGGATTGAAACTCAACCAAAGGAGGTAGAATCCTTGAATAAGTATCAGTGTGGGGACATGTTTGCTTAATGGAACACATTTAAACTCTTAATTAGAAACAAATTAAGTTGCATGTCCTATGTTTGCAAAGCAGAGTGATTATAGAGCTGCTGACATCACTTGTTTTGAGTCTTCTGTTCCACAACTCCCAAGCTTTGTTTCCAACCAATGCATACATCAGTTTTAGCTTTGGATAAGTAGATTTGTAATGCAAATAGTGCTAAGCCAGAACCAGTGGTACTAATGAGTGTAAAGGTGAAAAGCAGCAAATAAATTATTTCTGGAGAAATGTGAGATTACAAAAGCATTAAAAAGTAATGAAGCACTTTTGTATCAATTCTTATCTTCTGAAATATCACCTTCAAGAAAATCTATTTATTTAGCCAGGTGAGGATGTCTGCCTGTAAGCATGAAGGAAATGCCTTGAGAGTTCATTTGCTGTATTTAGTTTGAAGTTCTTATATCCGGCAGAAATACTTATTTAGAGTAACATGTAACTGAGGATATTATAGCAGGAAATATATTATTTCTTAGCATTAAAATGCAACATCTTAAACAGCTCTTTGTGGTGCTCAATGTATCTATTTAATTTACCAAAGCTAATGGAATAACATTCTTGTGTGTGATAATATTTGATTTCAAATGTTCTTTGTAACAGTATTAACAGGGAGTGAAACTGGCCCAAGATTTCCACCGGCCACGAGGCCAGTAAAACAAAGTGGCTTGTGAAAGTTTTGGCCAAATTAGGTACTATGCATGAGGGTGAAGAAAAATCTCTCGACCCTTCCCTTTTTTTAATGGGCTTAAAGTCCAGGGGTGGCTACTAAGACGAGCTGCTCGGTGGCCTAAAGCAATGTCTGTTATGGTTTGGCCATGCTGAGGAAAAGTCCTCTGGGGACAACAGACTTCTCCCTTCCTGTTGCACTGAAACTTGCATTAATTCAACTTTTTTTTTTTTTAACATTGCCCTTTACAACTACAGGGGCCAGCAAGAGCCACTACTGCTTCTGCCATGTGCGTGGCTTCTCACAGTGTCTAAACCATTTGGCCACTAACATCAGCCACGTTGCCAGTGCAATCTAGGGAGAGAACTGTATATAATACTTAAGCTCAGCTGGACTGACTTAAATTTTACAATATCTGATAAAATAAGCTCTACATCACTTAACATTTTGAACCGTTTTAAACTGGTACAAAACTGAACCTTTGTAAACTGAGCAGCATTTATAATGCTTCATATATAAAAACAATGCATATTTTTAAGATTTATTACATATCTATGTAGATATGCTTGCTGGAAAAGCTAGGTCTGTTGTAGACCAAATGCTACAAATTAAGACTTGTGGCTTACCAGTTTCATTTCTATATTTTCTTGGAAAATGTTTCTAGCTAGAGTTTAAATATAAAATGTAAATACTGTACAGATATGTATTGATATATAAGTATTTACTTGGTGTACACAAGTGATTTGCATGACAAATACTCTGTATCAATCATTGTTAAAAATGTGATGTTCTATGTAAATCCACTGCAATATTAATGTTTTCATTATCATTAAGACCTGTTGCTTAAATCTGGAGATTTTCTCAAAAATAAAGTGTGAAACTACTATTGTGTAACTCCTCATTTACCAATAATACGTGGGAGGCAATTTTTTTCTGAGAGCTTAAGTTTCAATTTTACGTCATGTGTTATAACTGCTCTTGTAAGTAAAAGGCCTCTTTTCCTTACATCTAGGCACACTGATTTAAATTATCAGGTTTAAGTTTTCAGAGAGAAAAACCTTCAACTGCAAATTAGATTGTTTCAGTAAAGTATGCTACAACTGAGTGCTGTTCCATTAAGAGCTGGTTTCCCTTGAGAGCCACCCTAAATTAAGGAGGTATTTTGTGAGTTCCCTTCCATGAGTTTGTCAGATCTAAGTGGGGGGCAGTAATCAGATCTCTGCTCCTCGAGTAGATTAATTAGACCTCCCCAAATTAGAAATAGCTAACGCTGCTGCAGTTGCCCAGTCTGCTTTCTCCATAGCTCGCTCTGAAGCTGTCAGGACCTGCCCTCCCTCCAGGTGCTGCTTGTTAGCTAGTTCAGGCACTTGTTGCTTCTGAGGTACAACAGTCAACACTTCAACTCCTTTTATACGTTTATGTCGGAGTTACTCATCAGACAAAAGACAAGACACAATCTTGGACCTAGAGGACAAAAGAGGAAAAAAAAGCCAGATACAGGAAAGGTATGTGGTTTCTTTGTCATGTTACTTTATGTAACTTCACATAACTGTTGCCATAGGAACATTATGCAGGGTACACTTATGGTTTGGCTTTATGGTGTTCTCCATGTACCAAAATATTACTTTATTTAGTAAAACATTAACTTTGCTCCTTTCTTTTTTTTAGTGTCACACACAGTAAAAAAGCTACTGCTGAGCTTCCAACCTGTTGCCTGGTTTTGGAAGCTTTTAACTTCAAAGGAGAAAGCCTTCTGCATTCTTGTCTAGGCAGCTGAAGTCCCAAGTTACTTATCTTCTCTGGGTCACACCGACAGCATCTTCTCACCTACCACTGAAAGGAAGATCTGATTTCTTGAGTATTAAACACACTCTGAAAGCTGTCAATTCACATGACATATTGCATGTTAAATAACCCAAGTAAAACTCAAGTAAAAATCCATTTTAACTTTGCTGTATTTATATACTATATAAATTTTACATGCTATATATTTACAGTGGGGCAAGTGCTTTTTATCTTTAAAAAAACAAAGATCAAACTTTAGACATCTCTGAACAACACAGCTTGTATAAACCAGACAGATTATTCAGATGAACTGTATTTAATACAGGTTCCCCACTCATCTCCTGATGCAGGACCAGTGAATAATAAGTGCATCACAGTTTGATAGCATTTAATAATAAAAATAAAAATCACAGTATGAATTTGTTTGTAACTAGACACTTTAGAGAGACAAAACAGACAACTGAGACTTAAGACAGTATATTAAGAAAATGTAATAAAAACATGGAAGAGTTTACAAATAGTCTTGAGAGATACATTCAGAACTGCATATTCGTTGTTTCACAATGTTGAAAACCAGATGTTCTTCAGATCTTGAATATAAGTCAAATGTGAAGTAAATTAGTTTCTAGTGTCAGACAGCACAGAAAAAAGATGGTCTTGCAAAGCTCTATAGTTATTTGAGAGCTTGTGAAATTTTAAATAAGTCTTTAAATTAAATATACAGACTGTCAGTTGCAATTTTTATAATTCCTGGTAGCTCTTGCACCAGATGTCTAACTTGGAGTAACATTACATGAATAACATAAAGTCAACCTGAGTCTGTAATTAAGCAGCATTTGAGATGGTCTATTCCAGGGCATTATCTCACATGAGTGAGATATTTATGTGGTAATTTACAATGTTCAGCAGTTGTAAAAAGTTTCACCCTTTTGGATTAGAAGTATATTTTAAAAAAGAAAGTCTCAAGTTAAAAACTAAAAAAAAGTTCTTTCATGGTAAAATTCCGTACAGAAATGTTAAGCACCACTTATGACAATTTTATTTTCATGGTAATTGTTTTAATAATAAGTTTTGATGGTCAATATTGGTAATGTCGGGTTTGGTGGTCAATATTGGTAATGTCGGGTTTGGTGGTCAATATTGGTAACGTCAGGTTTACGGTCAGTATCGGTAACGTCAGGTTTATGGTCAGTATCGGTAACGTCAGGTTAATGGTCAGTATCGGTAACGTCAGGTTAGTGGTCAATATTGGTAACGTCAGGTTTGGTGGTCAATATCGGTAATGTCGGGTTTGGTGGTCAGTATTGGTAATGTCAGGTTTATGGTCAATATTGGTAACGTCAGGTTAGTGGTCAATATTGGTAACGTCAGGTTAATGGTCAATATCGGTAATGTCGGGTTTGGTGGTCAGTATTGGTAATGTCAGGTTTAGTGGTCAATATTGGTAACGTCAGGTTTGGTGGTCGAGTTGTCAGGTCTGGCAGTCAAAAGTTGTCGGGTTTGATGGTAGGTTTAGTTTGAGTAGTGAAGCCTTCCACCAGTAAACTCCACAGCTGAAAGACAAAAGGAAACAATGTCACTCCCTGTTGTGCCACTCAACATAAAACTATGTCTTGTGGTTTGATTTCTGAAAGACAAGTCTCAAGCCTGCCCACAGCTCCATCTGCTCTGTCACTACAGGATCCAGCTGACTCGAGAAGGTGGCTTCCTCACAATTAAACTGACTGCATTTCAGTTCTACGCTAACACTGGTGAACTCTACAGACTATTAGGACAAAGCTACCTGCTTTAATAGCAAATGGTAGACCTGAGGTAAATTAAATTTTTTGAAGTTTTGCCTAGACAGCATCCTTGTTTTACTAACAATCTTGTGGTCAAGCTGACCAAATCTTACAAACACAAGCCTTCAGAAACTTGCTGAAGAGAACATATAGGAGTATAGAAAATTAACTGCTTTAAAGCTGCTCTTTCTCCCATTTTCATCCTTATGGATTTATTCAAAGTAACATGAGTCCTGGTGAAACGGCACAACCTAACACTTCCCTCTGAGTTGTTCCTAGTCTGCCCCATGCTTTGAGAGGTTCAACAATCTAAACAGACACTGTTGAAGTGGCCTTTTTTAGGATTAGATTCCATCATTCAGGAAAAGCCTACTTGAGACCAATTTTTTTTAAAAAAAGATTGACCTTCCACAAGATGAAGCTAATTAACATCCATGGACTTGATGAAATACTAAAATTCTTGAGAATTAAAAAATTGCCTTTCACAGCCCCTCACATCCCACTTGTGTTGCAGTTGGTGTATCAAAGTGGGGTACTGTCATCATATTTAACAAAGAAACATCTTTCACCCACATAGCCTGGTACTCTTAATGCCCCTGACCTGTGTAATAAGATGCAAGACATTTACTTTCTTACAATACTTTTGACTGGTTTAGAAAAAAACAAGTTTGCCATCTGCTGGCCGGAGAATTCACTAAAGCCAAACTTGTATTAGAGCAGATGCATTTTCTTCTGTTTGGTTCCTGATTTATCAGCTAGAATAGACACAATTTTAGTGCAGTAAGGATTATTTTTACATTAGTATCATACAAAAAAGTGTATTTTTACAACAGTAATATCTGAAAGACCTCAATTCAGTCCTCCTTCTTAAATTCTCCTTATTAAAGAGATAAATATATTAAATTTTACAAGAAGAATGTATGAACCTTCAGCTTTCCCTCTATACTGTATTTTCAGAATAAAACTTTTGGTTGTCTATGTCCTAAAATACAATAATTGTTTTTCCACAAATGCACTTCCCTCTTTGCCTTAAGCAAACTTTTCAGTGCAAGAATCTACTGACTGCAATTAAGTTCAATGGGGAAACCACATGAAATTTTTGAAAATTAAAATCTATTCTAAGATTAAACTTCTCCAAATTGTGAAATGCATTCAGCTGTAATGCAAGATTAATTCTTTTGGATTTTATGCCAGAATGACATTGTCAACACCAGGCTATTAATGAACAAGATTGTCACTATTAACCCAATTCTTAAATTGTGTGTACATATAAAATGTAGAGAATTTGGAAAAAGGCCCTTGCTTTTGGATAGGGAGCTCTCTTCTTCAGAGATTACTGCAGTTATCTATAAGAGTAAAATAGATGGTTGAGGGTGTTGTTTGTTTATTAAAATATCTGAGTGACCTGGACCATCTTTATGTTAGATAATGGGCATTTATGAAGGTTTTATTTTAATAATAAACACTTCTGTTCAGAAAAATTAAATGGGAAATGTCAAATTTTATTTTAGATGTTGAATTTGGTCCAGTGTGCAAGCTTCATTGCATAATTCTAGAGCTAGTTAACTTAAAACATAGTATCTACTGAGAGCCCAAGTCAGGACTATGACAAGCAACAGCAGAGTTGTGTAAATTCAGTCAAGCACTCAAGTTTGTATTTAGTTTTTATAAACAGCACCAAACTGACTTTTTAATATTAAAAATTGGAAAAGAGCTGTTTCATCATCCCACTTCTCTGTATTTTTAAGCCTATACTAACAGAAAAACACCAGAGGTAAATACAACAATAGCAGGTATCAAACATACTCTCCAGGTATTAAATTGCAAAGCGTCCTCTGGAGGATTAACAACTGTGCTTTAAAGGCAGATCTACATCTGAAACCACAATATTTCAGTACTGTCACCAACTTATGTTACTTTGAATAAGCAGTCAACACTGTTTGTATGTTATGAAATAGCTGAACACAGTATGTTATTTAAATCAGCTACTCTAGCAGTCTTTTATGGGAAGATGGTGTTTCACTACAATATTACTAACACCCTGGAAGGCTCATGTCACCATGTTCCATCCTGGCTACTGAACCTCCTGTCTACCTACTAGATGCTTTTTCAAAATATAGCTGCCCAAGTGGTTTTTTCCCAGTTGGCTGGACTGAATTTAACAAGGCATCTTGCATTTCTCCCACTTGTTCACCACTTAACCATCAGGCCAAATTAAAATCACTTGCCCTTCAACCCTTTGCAGTTTTATTTCAGACTTTCTTTCCTATCAGTAGTTTAAAAATAGGAAAAAAAAAAAAAAAAAGCCTATCACCTTCTTTTTGTATTAATGCAGGCTGTTCAGGAGCCATGATAGAAAGCAGAGATTTCATCACACAAGCATTTAAAGATTGTTTTAAATAATAACGTCTATGTGAATAAAAAGGAGTCCTGCCCCAACGTCCTGTGGTCCCTTACCTTTAACATACTCGGCTGTGATGCAGCTGCATTTCTTGCTGTCACCTGCACCTTTTTTGTACGGTTGCTTACTGCCCTGGTTTCTGTATTGCTCACATAAACAGCCGCTGGGAGGACAAGATTCTTTCCCCTTCTCCAGTGCTTTCTTCTGGGAATGATCATCTAAACATTCCAAGAGGCCTTCCAGTTTCCTAATGTGTTTCCTCTTTTTCTTCTTTTTCTTATGTCTGCGATTGTCAAAGTGGAGCATACAGAAACCCAAATCACAAGATCTGACGGAAAAACTTAAGCTAAAAATAGAAAAACAGATGTAGCACTTAATACATATATGAAATGTTATTTATTTTACCACAGGTGATGACTTGCAGCATGTCAGCTATTTTGTGGGAACTTCTGCACATCTAACTTACTTTAGATGCAGCAAACTTAAGCCCTCAGAATGAAGGACAATAGGTCCTGGTTTGTACACAAATCATTAACAGGGGTTAGTTGTGGAATGTGTGGAATTAAAAAAAAAAATTTGTTGAAATCTAATCAAGAATGGTGTGCAGATCCAATTCTAATGTGGTCCAGATATAGTGTTCTAAAACAATTCAGCCTTATTTTTCCTATGACCTGACCCCCAGCCAGATTATGCTATATAAATAACTTAGAAACAATGAAAAAGAGGCAGACATGAGAAACACCCAGAAAAGAATCAGGAATAAATTGCTGATTATGCAGGAATCTTCACTTACGTGCAAGCCTTCTCTCGATGTTTATCTTTGGACTTCTTTTTCTTCTTGTCCTTCTTATATTTTTTCATTCTTTGGTCATCTATCTTTCGGAATTTCCTTTCTATTTCGCTTTCACTTCCACTTTCATTTCCACTTCCTTCTGTGTGGGTATATTTTCTTTTGACGCTTCTTACTTTTTCATTGTTCCGGGAAGAGCCCTCAAAATTTGAATGAGCTGACACAAGTGGAAGTGTGTGCCTTTCATATTTTTCAGATGGCTGCTGAGGTACTGAATAGTGATGCAGACTTGCTCTATGGCTGCTAAAGTGATGTCCAACTTCCTCTCTAGAGAGTGCACTGTGAGACCATCTGCTTTTGCAATGATAAGGATTATGTGACCTGTTACTGTAAGCTTGGCTTGATTTGTCAAAGTCTTTATCACAATGAGAGGACCTTCTCTCTCTACCATCTCTTGTTCCATGAGCAGAATAATAATCATTGTAGTATCTGCACTTGTCCCATCTCCGTGGTTCATCTTGATAGTATCTTTCTCTGCTCCAAGTTCTCTCTCCTTTGGAGTAATAATATCTATTCCTGTCTTGTTCTGTTCTTTCTCTGCTTCGGGATCTATAACGAGAATATTTTCCTGAGCTTTTGCCATTATTTGGACTGTTTCCATCATTATGGGAAGATCTGTACTTGCTTTCATTGCAATATTCCTGCCTATGGCGATATTGCTTATTTGATTCCACACTGCGAGAGCGTCTTCTCTTGTGGGAATAATCATCTGGTCTGCTTCTGGTTTGCCTCTCCTTCTCTTCAGTGTCTGAGTATTCTCTCTTCCTTCGGTAGTGCTCTTTGTCAGGTCTTTTAGAGTCATATATTTTTTTCTTATGTTTTTTCCTATATTTATCTTCTTCAAATTTTTTATTATCCAGTCCCTCATTTTCTCTACAAAATTGACTCTCCAAAACTTTATCCAGTTTTGTAATAGAACAGTCATTAACAGGTGGTACCGCTACAAAGTCATTAAAAGTGTTCATTGCTTCTCGGCATTCATCAGTAATATCTAGAGATGCAAGTCTACATTCAATTTCACACTTTAAAGAGGAAGTTTGTCTTAATTTCTTTCCGCTCTCACGAGAGACCTTGACATACAAAGGATTTTCTTTTGAAATGTGTTCAGGTTCTTTTGATCTTCTTGGTTTGTCTCTACCATCTTCATACTCACACTGCCCAGGGAATTCATCTTCAGTGTCCAAGGATTTTTTCCTGACCTTGTGCTGACCATTGATATTGGAATGCACATTATCAGCTTTTGTTATAATACTTTCAGTAACTTCTTCTTTGGTGGAAGTGGTTTCAGAATCTGATTGAGTAAAAAGATTCTCAACCTCACAGCCAAATTTGAAAGGAAGATTCCTAGATTCTTTATAGGCAAACAGTGCATTTTCCTTAAGAGCATCATTCTCAGATTTCTGAGGTCCAGGGTCACTGCACAAAATAAAACAACATTTTTCACTTGAAAAAGTCCATCTAAAAGATGAATGTTAGGAGTAAAATCCCCTTAATTAAAAAATTTCGTGGCTACTGCAAAACTCTGAAAGATATTCTCTTTAGAAACCTATTCTTACACCTTCCTCAGCTCCAAGAGGAGGTTTTTCTTCTCTTGGTTCTGCAAGTACTGCATTAAAAACCCCACATCCAATACATCTATCTCCCGGTACTTGCTGCTCTGAATCACATCAATAGCCAAAACCACTGTATTTGCTCTCCCCTCAACTAGAAAAACAGTAAACACATGGATTTCCCTCTCTCCCCCCCAAATGGGAGAGCAGATGGTGGGAATTTACATTCACACATCCTAGGATGGAAAAAAAGGGAAAGAGGAATAGAAAATTACTCCAGACAATGGTAAAAATAGCAAAACATTCTATGAAGAAACCAAAGTTTTCCAAAAGGCATCTGCCTGAATTTAATAGCAGAATAATTTATGCTCAAGTGCTGATGTTTGCAACACTAGATTACATTATGGAATTCTCCATACTAATTTAAATCTTTCTATTAAATAGTATTAGCAGGCAGGTAAAACAATTATAAACGTATGAAATCTGGTTTTAATCTGAGTGTACTCATTTTACCTTCTTTTCTCTGACAAACTGTTCATCTGGCTGTACGCGATAGATTCTAAGATTATTTCTTGAGGAATCGGTGACAAAGCTACAGGCATCTACAATTAAAACATAGAAGTTAACAGAAAGTTAACAGAAAAATAGAAATAACAGAAAATACTATATTTAGTAGAAAACTAGTTTGCAAAATTTCTACATTAGATGCTCAACATGGTCACTTTAAGTTCTATGTGCTATCCCTATTTTACACATCACCCCACTCACCACCCCCAAACATATTTATGAAACTTATGAATATTATCACAGCTCAACTTCTCTTAAATTGACATGTTCTTATATGACAGCTCAGCCCTGCAAATTCTAATGGGATAACAACACAAAGTGTTATGATGAAATTTGTGCTGTTTTCTCAGTATTTCACACGAATTAGGAACATTACAATGCTTCTGAATACCAATTACACCATAGGTGAGAAATTCGAGATGGAACAAACATAACTCACCGATTCAAACAATCCGTTTGTTTTAGAAAAGCAAAACTCAGAAGGTTTAATAGGTTGGAATTGGCAAGTGGAATCATCAAGTTTCTGTCCATTTTCTTTAGATTCATTATCTAAACTATTAGCACCATTTAGTGAATCATTTTTTGGCAGCTCATGTTGGGATCTTTCTTCTTCAGCATTCTGACAGGAAGAATGGGAATTCTGCAATGTATGGGCCACTTTTCCAAACAAAATTCCATTAGCTGATGTTATGTTGCAATTCTTTTTAAACAAGCCCTTCGACTCCTCAGATCTTCCTGAAGATTCTGCACTGTAAGTGACAGAGTTATCAGAGCTGAGTTTAAGATTTCCACTCACTGCTGGCTCAACAAAAGTTTCATCAGGAACTTCCTGTTTGGAAACGTTAATAGCAAATGACATTGTAGGTGCATTTGAGGTAGACTCTGCTGCAGTAGAATTTGTAATTGTGGATGAAGGAACAGGCTTGCTTAGATCCTCATCCTCCGCAGCACTAGGACAGGGAGATTGTGACACAGTCTGATGTGCAGGCAATTTGTTGTGAATACTGATAGTGATCTTCTGTTTTTTTGCTGAGTCTGTAATTGAAGGCCTGGTATTTGCCCAGTTTTGAACACAAGCTGTTGGCGGAGCTGAAGATGGCCTTTTCAGAGTGACACCAACGGTATTTGAGTCCTCTTTTAGGGGTCCATTTCCATTTAAACGACTTGAGTTCTGTATTTAAAAAGAAGAGATGGCAAGATGGATATGTGCAAACACACGGCATCTGAAGCTTTAAAACATGAATTTCTCCTACTAAATATTTCTATAAATTACCTCAACACCTAAGAAGAAAACACCCCCCCCTTCAAAGATAAATCTAAGTCCAGTAAGTGTTCAATTCCTACTTTTGGGTTACTGCATATTGGTATCAAATGAGCATTATTTCTGAAACCCATCCAAACATCTTAAAATTGACTAAAGCTATTCCCAAATAGATTTATTTTCCCCTTTAAAGATTCCCTGAAAACACTGGAGTAATTGTTCTGGTACTCAGGAACAAGACAGTTTGTTTTCACTATCTCATCTAAAGTGACACTGATGCGGGGGGTGGGGAAAGCTTTATGTTTTTTAAAAAATTATTTAAGCATTAATTGACTAATTATATGGTCTCAAAAGAGTAGTTCTCAGTACTTTAGAAAGCTGAGCTGGAAGTATAAAGTAATGAAGTAGCATGGCTGCACAATTTAGGATTAGCCACTGTTTGAACAATTCTGGCTGTAGCATGAGGGCTGTGAAGAAAGCTGCAGTGTGGGAGGGAAAACAAACCTGAAAATGCTAAAAACCAACAACAAAACCCATACCAAAACCAAAAACCAGTATCAGTGTGGTGCCCCCCTCAAGTTACCTTAGTCATATGAGGAGGAAGTCGTGGTCCCATAACTCCAGTCTGCTTACTATTAGTCCCCTGCTGACCAAGGAATGAACGGGAGTAAGACGGTGATGGTACGTAAAAAGCACGTTCTCCGAGTGTCAAATCATAGCGCCTTGGGAAAAGAGCAGTGATCTCAGTTTAGAGCTTTTCTTTCACTCTATTATTGGATTAAACCCCATACTATAATTTTATAGGAACAGTTTATATGACACAGAAGACATGTACAGAAGACTTAACCAAGACTACAAACTGAAAATTAGATAATGGTCTTCCTACAATGACTATCCTTTTCAGAGCAATAACTCATCCTCACACCTTCTGTGGCATTAATTTCTCCTTTTTCTAAATTAGCCAGCTAGAGAGAGCAGATATATAGCAATGTACACAAGTGCAGCAATTTAAGGCCAAGCAATGAAAGATAAAAATTACATGGGGAATTTCAGGTTAGACAGAACTGAATTATACAAACAGTAATCTTTTCCAAGGATAGAAAGAAAAACACTTTAAAAGATGAAAAATATCAATAACAAGAAAGTAAATATATTCTGAACATATTTAGTACTTGTTATTACCTGATATAAAAAAGTACGTAAGCTTGCTGAGTGAGAACTGTTTTCATACTAACAACTTCTACTGAAGCATCATTCATTCGATACCAACGTCCATCACTGGCCTGCAAATAAAGACAATGATATCTTTAGATGAATTGCATGTTTTCCAGATGACATCACAGGTAGAACACTACAGAAAAAACATACCAGAACAAATCAAACAAAACATACAATGCAACCTTTTCCCCTAAACACAGTGGTTACCAGTAACATTTTAACTTGTCAGCAGATTTTACCCTGTTAGAAATCAAGCTGATACCTACCTTTATTACACAGAGATAGTGTCCAGCATTACAGCCGAAACCATTATGTACAAGAACTGCATATAAAGCATAGATGAGTGGTTCTCCCATTGACTGGGACATATATGCTCGAAGATCCAAATATTCAGGATATTTTACATCCTAAACACAAACAAAGAAGATTCAAAAATTATCCTGAAATAGTTCAGGGAGTAGCTCAAGAAAAACACCTCTAAAAACACAGCCTAGGATGATCTTAATATATTTAAATGAAATACATAATTTAAAAATACCTATTTTCATAAACAACATTTAATAGCTTAAGTTGCAGTGAACTGTTTTCGACAGAATTAGATCTTTTAAGAGTAAGGTATATTCTTATGGTCAAATGGGAACTTTATTGTTATTAAAAAAGAAAGAAGCAGCCATAGTTGTTATATTGGCTTTTCTCAGACTATAGTTAATAGTCTATACTTATCGCCTCCAAACATTAATAACATTTAAATGAGTATTCATCTTTGGAAAATCTCCTATTCCAAGAAGATAAAGGTGCATTACAGCTGTAAATATACCTTGTTGATCTTTCCACCTGTATAATTTGCAAATCTTTTCAGTGTTATTGTGAGAACGTTGGAAGAACGATGTATCGTGTACCTCTTTGATGCAGGAACCATCTTTTTACACCTTAAAAACAAGCACAGACAAACGTTTTTCCCCTCCAAAAGTCAAACAAGTTTCCATCTCTCACACATGATCTTTACTTGCATAATATGTTTTTTTCTTTTCATAAATCCATTTTATATTTAGGAGGATCGGATAGGAATGTTACAGAACCGAGCCTGGCGGTTTTTGCTTTTCTCAGTTTATGTTTGAATAACACCTTGTTCTGCCAAAACCTCTCATACAAATATTCAGTGCTCTTACATACGTAGAAACATGTTACATATTGATCAGCATATAGGACATCGTACCTTCATATGCTTTCACTAAGCATAGAATAGGTTTAGGGTGACTCATTTCGGACAAAGGTAGTCCACAGGTTTTAAAATTCAAGAACTGTGCAAGACATTGTTCAGTGAGCCAGGCAGAGGTTGTGAATATTAATTATCACTTAGTTTGTTCACATTTACTGAGAACCAGTCTCACTTTGTTTCACAGTGAATGCTAGGACCTTCAAGAAGCTGATGTTGCTTCCCACCCCAAACCATTTTCCACAGCTCCGTGCTTCAGCTCACTGCTACTTATGGCCATTTGAATATTGCATTGGGCAGGTTCACACTTACAAAGGCTGACAAGCCCCCATGTAGACAGTACTAGGCATAAAAGTCTAATGTGAGGTAATGGCTACAATTCTTATATTTCCAAATATTCAAAGAGAAACATAAAAATTACTCACTACAATTGTATTATTTTCTAAGCTTTGAATAATTCCAGTGTATTAGTTATGTAAACAAAACTAAACGAAAGAACAACAGAGCTGTGTCTTATTGTATTATTTCTAAATGAAGTCAAAACATAATTTATGCTCTAAGTCATGCAATACATTAAGCTTGTATCTTGTATTAAGAAGTAATTAGTAATAATCTTACTTGCTGCACTTATAGCTGTTTTCACCATCAAGTTGTTCGGGCTTCACGAACTCCTCTAAGGCTTTAGTAAGAGTTGTAATTCCCTGAATGAGTAAGAAAGTAGAGCACTAAGTCACTGGAAATGCAAAATTTCAAACACTTACTAGTAGTTACAAGAGAACCTTGCTAGTTCATACTTAAGTGACCTGCTGTGAACTAGCAAACACTGTAAAAAAGGAGGCAGAAACAGAGTTACCTCATTTGAAAATTATTCTACTTTGAAATAATAAATTTTGCAATGCCACAGAAAACACCTGTGATATGCTTTGGCATCAGTAATGAGGACAGTCAAACCCATCAGCCTAACAACAGATGTATATTGAAGTAGAATAATCAAACAGTATGATAGTATCACTGTTCGTGTAGATACAATTATTATTATTCCAGCTTAAATATAATGCAAACATGGAGACCATTCACATGGCTTCCACAGAAGAACAAAGTCCAACCCACTCCCATTCACCACCAAACTCTTTTGTTTTAACAGCATATGTTTTCACGTAAAATGACTTAATTTTAGAAAGCTCTACAAGTCTTTACACATCTTGACCCATATTCACAAAACATCTTACCTTTATAGTCAAAGTAATATCAAGGCATGGCTCATAGGTATCTGAAACCGCTTTGCAGTTCAAGCACTTGACTGGAATCAAAATACAAATGCTTAGCAATTATGAAATTTAAATTATTAATACATATTACTTTAGTCAAAATACAAACTCCTTTACTACAGACAGACAAAAAGACACAGACCAGTTCAAAGCACAGTAAGATTTTTGAAAAGTACCTCGGGATCTTAGATAGCCTCCGAATATCTGATAAATAAGTGTAGTGGATTGAGATGATATGTCCAGTCTGGAAATAAATCACAATCAGATTTCAGAAGATTAAAGGCACCAAGTTAACTCTTCAAACAGTTTTGCTTTTTATGAAAACTAAGAACATAGGTTTTAATTTATGATAGTAAATAAAGGTGTAAGAGGGGCTAGAGAACATTGAAAGTTAATTTGTTTATGCTTACTTGGTGCTTCCATTCAAACATGACTTCTGCAAAGCGTCAAAGACGAAACTTAAGAATTCATGGGCATCCTCTTGACTACCGTAATGTAAATTTTTTCCAATTCCTAATAAATAAGAAGGTTATTATATTTATCTCATATAATATGAAAGAAACCTCATATTTCTAAAATCTCTCTTCTTTAAAATATCAAAATAATTTACACACATCAAATAATTATTTGAAAAATATAAAAAAATAAAACCATCTGAAATGACTTACTTTTAAGGCCCTTAATAACAGATGTTGGGCTGATGGCATCGCTAGCGCAGAGGACCTGGTTAATGTGAGTCTGCAGGATACACATCATGCAAAATCCTCGCATATGACCTGAAGAGTGAAAAAAGAAAGCATCCCAGTCTAGTCAAATATACGTTGCTACAAATAAAAAACCTAAAACCATAATAATCTTTAAATTATAGGTACAATGTCCACTCTCCACACTGCATTGTCTTCTCCTAAGGTGTCAATATGCCAACACTGTTGTGACATTTTATTATGCAGAACTGTATAGAATAAAAATGTCAATTAAGACTGTATTAAATTGCATTTTCTGATGAGAAACCTAAGTAACTATTGCAATATCTTTTTTTTTTTTCCAGGCTGACAGGAATGTGAACTCCACAGACTGCAGAATACATGAGGAAACAATATTGACATTGATGATACAGCACTAAGAGAGAATGTGTGTTATTTTCAGCACACTGCTGTTAGGTGAGCTGCATGACAGAGAGCTAAGAATCCTCTGGGAGAAAGGAAAGATTAAAGTAAAAGTAATGCATGTATTAGTATCTCTGCCCTCCTTCATCAACAGGATTCTTAACTGAAATAATTTTTATATATGGTAAGAAAACACGATTAAATTTCTAGGAACAAATACTAAGGCATCAGACTAGAAAACCTACAGGTGCCTATGTAAAAATACACATATATGGATATGAAAAGAGGCTCCTAGGCTTAAATAAAGTATAAAAACAAAATTCAAAGAACACAAATTCAAGGGTTTAAAAAATACAAACTTTTATTTTTAATAAAATAAGTCTAAATTTTAATACAGTCCCACACAAATTTCTATTTGAATTCATAAGAGTTAGCTCGTAGTGCTTTCTCGGATGTTGGGGTTTTTTAATGGGTCAACAGTGAATGTATCATTCATCACAGTATTAGTGCATTACAATATCTAGGCTGCTAAGACTAAGAATCTATGATGCTAACATCTTAAATTTTACCACATTTCTACCAGCAGGAAACCCAAATGCCAGATGTTCTTTGAATGCCTGACTTTACAAGGCACTTCACTATTCAAATGAAGCAAGAAATTATCTTTTTTTTAAGTTTTACATGAACAAATGCACTTTATATGCAATTCTGAGCCTCCTGTTAATATAACCATAGAATCACCTAGGTTGGAAAACACCTTTAAGATCACATTCAAAGCCAGCTTCTACAGATAAAATAAGACAACTAAGTTTTCTTCATAGAATCACTTGTTCTTTCACCTTCAGAGCTGTCCAACAGATTTATAATAATGTTAGAATGTACTCACATGACCGGGTGTGTTCGAGGGAAAGCATATAATTGGCAAGAGGTGGAGTATAGGTCAAACACTGCAGGGTCGAATTGAGGAAACATGTGTTGCCAAGATTCTGTAGGCCCACTCCAACGCTTTGAGTCTGCTGCCAATCCATGCAAATTTTTTCCGGCGGAAAGAGTATACTTTGCGGCGGGGCAATTCCGTCATTAACAACTGCAAGAAAATTTTATTTTAGAAGAGATGTATTGTTTCTGTTTTAAAAAGGATATTTAAAAAGTAACATTCTGCAGGAGCACCTGGAAGAACAGCTATACTCCAAACACATAAGATGCACAGTTTTAACACTGTCACTTAAATTTGCTGGTCAACACAATGTTGTGGATAATAGTTTATTTATCTATTTTAATTCTTCTAATGCAAGACAAACTACCACTCGGTTTTGGTAACTTTTGCCATCTATAGCCTTTAATCTGATTATTAATTCAATTATTTCTTCCTTATCAAAACTTAAACCATAAACTTACAATTAAACACTAATAAATATGAGACCTAAGACAGAAAAGTAAGCAAGTAGCTAGCACAGAAGGTAACCCTATAGACATCAGATCTCTTCCTGAGCACTGTTATAATTCAAAGACTTGTGAATAATGGAAGCCATGAATAGCAATGTTAAAATGTACTTTTCTCTGCATAACAGAAAAGACTTGTGTAAGTCTGTGTATTATAAAAAGCTCCCCATAATTGATTGCAAATAGATCAAAACTAAGTTACAAATAGACTGTAAATAGATAAAATTATGTTTTGCAACACTGGTCCCTTCAGTTGCCTTAGGGGAGTCACAAAATTGAAGCCTACCACTGAAGTCCTTATTTGTTGTAGTCCCATTTTATAGCAGAGCAACAAACAAGAACTGCATTTTCTACTTTTGTTTTTAAGAAAAAGGGGGGAGGACAAAAGACACACTTACCTAAGTCTCTTTGGCCAAAATGTTTAGATTTCTGAGATGATCTGCAATAGATAGCACCCCCGGGTCCTTTGTCTACAGAGACCTTGTTGGTATCTTGTGGAGGTGCTACCCGGCCTAGATTGGCAGAGTGTGATGACATCTTTTTTGAGCGGCGTGTCTTGGATTTGTCTGGTCTCCTGGATGATGACTTTTTGGAGCTTGAAGATTTCTGTTTATTAACTATTGTCATTGTTCATATCTGTAACAGAAGCAAAAGTTCTGGTTGACATAAGAACGTCAAGAAGCATTCCAGAAAGAAAAGGAGAAATCCTGTCACTTAGTCTCAAAGAAATAACTTGAAGAACTAAATAGTTGACAAGACTGATTAAAAAACAAAACCGAACTAACCCAAAACTAAATACACAAAGCAGAATTTTCCATCAAAACTGTATCAATATTACTTTTATTATTTATTATTTAATTAATTAACTTCTGCAGAGCTGGTGACTGGTGGCATTCTTACACTGTCATGGGATTTTAATCCATGACAGTTATGGAGACTTTCTTTTTTTTTTTTTTTTTTTTTTTTTTTT